CAGCTGAAAAGGCGTTGTTACATAAAATACGGAAACAGCATACATCTTTTAAGATTTGAGGTTTTCACGGCGGTGACTATGAAGAATGCCATCTTGTGGGATGTGGCGCCGTACAGATCTTGTGTGATCTACACGGCGCCACATCCCAGAAGATGGCATTGTTCGTACATCTTGGTAAGGTGATTAAAGTAAGTTCCTATAGCTATTTTGTCTGAAATCGATGAGTAGAGAAAATGTCCACGTTTGATTTCTTGGCTCCCAAAACTTGGTTTGGTAGTACTGCAAGATTGACCACGTCGACATAATCTTTAATTAAGCGTTTCAAATTAATAATCTTCCCGACACGAGATGTTAGTGGGCCATGCTTCTAAAGGTTTGTGCTGTCTGTCTCACATTTTGTAGCATAGATAACAGACTGCAAATTCAGTTAGTACTAGCACGTTTAACCATGTTTATTTACGCTATAATATTGCATATTCCCATTAATATGGGTGCAGCATAGAAGATAAATCATATGGCATTATTTCCGTTGTCAGAAATCTTCCATATTATCACCATTCGTATTTGAACGAAACGAAAAGCAGTATAAACCGTGTGTCATTTTTTTTTAAATTAAAACTGCTCTTTTCTTGAAGAGTACTATCTTCTGGGATATAACGCCGTGTAGTCCTTCAGTCAACCGACATTTCGGAGGCACGTGTCGCCGCCATATTCAGAATCGAAAAATAAGCCCAACACACCTTTACAATTTTGTCCCATGTATTTTTCCTAGACCAGCAAAACCGCCCCTTTTCAGGGCCTCAAAAACTTCTGTTCTTGTCTCCTATTGGTTCGCTCAGTTGTCGTGTGATTTCGTACTGTCTCACGGGCGAGCCAATGGGAACTCTGGTCCTCTGTTCCATTTCCCTCCTGCTTCTTATATAATCCGAAATTTCCAGACAGCCAATTACTCGTTTTGCTACCGGCTTATTCGACTTACTCGACCCTGAAGATGGAGGCCATATGTTCTTTCGAAACGTAGGTTGACTTTCAGCGGACTACACGATGTTCTTCATAACCACTTCTGTGAGAACCTCGAATTCTACATGTTCTTTTCTTTATCGGCAAACTCGTTTATTTCCTACTCTGCATTTGTTCTAGAGTTCAGCGTAATTTTAAGGTAGCATGTAGTCCTATAGCGTGACGTTGCTATGGTATGTTTGGATACAGCGAGCCAGGAACGTTATGAGGGTGGCGTACAGGCATTACAGATTGAATTCAGGGGGGAATTAAGTGGGAAGTATATTTTCTGCCAACCATGAAAATGCTAACTTCATTGTTGAAGTTAAAGTAAATTTTCCAGCTAGAGTAAAGTGTAGACCTCTATGTCTACAACGCTAACTATAAGATTCAAATCGAGGGAGAGAGAGCGCACTACATAGTTTGCTTTATTGTAAAGTTTGACCTATCGCTTTTACTGCCCTGAACCGTAGTATTGAAGTTAATAGTGCATTTTTTATTAGATTTGGCAACAACGTGCACAAGCCCACTGTTCTCCTCTTGCTGGGGAAAACGAAACACAAATATTATGTTTTTGGACATTATCCATCGTCCTGTTTATATCTAAAAACACCGTCCTGTTTATACGATGGGGTACCGAAAAGAAACCGAACTAATTTTTTTGTGGGCAGAGCTTTTGTAGTACCGCGTTTTGCCGCTATGAGCGCATAGAGCTAATATTCCTGAGTCGATATGCCGACTACCGTTGCTTCGGAAGGTAAGGACTAGTTTCAGCAGAGTTTATAGTGACAACTGTTTTGTGTGATCGTCGTTTTTGCAATGGCTGATTTTATGAGCAGCGTGCGGCGGTGAAATTCTGCTTTTTGCTTGGGAAAAGTGGAACAGAAACTCTTGAAATGTTAAAAACGGCGTACAAGGACGATGCTATGGGGAAAACTCAAGTGTTTGAGTGGTTTTCCCGTTTCAAAAATGGTGAAATGTCAATTGATGACAAACCTCGTTCTGGTCGTCCTTCCACAGCCCGAACACATGAAAATGTTGAAAAAATTCGTGAAATCATCAAGCAAGATCGACGACGGACCATTGAAGAAATTGTG